GGCTTCTCTCCTCAGAGCTGAGTGTCAGATATTCATTAAAAACAGGAGTTTCTGCGGTGTGTAACACAGAAACAGAACGTTTTTCCCTGGTTTTTCGGCTTTTTTGTGTGTTTGCTTTGGCTGGAATCGATCAAACGGCTCATTTTATCATCAATATCATCAAATCATATGTAATCCAGTGATTCTGGCTCAGAGGGAGACAAATAAAATCCATGTTTAAAAAGCAAAATAAGGATAATATTCAGAAAAACAGCTTACTAAAACGAGCAGTAAGTAGCTGGAAGCTCCCGTTTGTGTTGTGTTTGGAGGAAATACTTTACAAAAACAAAAACATGCATTCATCTATTTAATCTGCCTTCATCCTTTAATTTCAGGCACGTTCTTAATGTCTCATACGTTTGAGGAAAGCTGTATCAGACACAAGTTAATGCAGAAATGATCTGTGGGAAGAAACTAAAAATCTGCCGACAGAGCAAAAAGACAAAAAGACAATTAAAAATTCAGGATTCACAGTAAGAAAATAAACCAATCAGTCAATTTGTGTTTATTATAGAAACGTGTCACTCCAAATGATATATTTGTATCTATTTACAACAAATGAAACGCAGGATTTTCGCTCCACATTAAAGTCTCTTTTAGAGAAGAAGCAACACTTGAAACCAGCTTAAAATTCAGTTTTTTATCTGCCAAAACGGCTCCTTGGAGCCATTTTATGACCTCCAGCACATCAACAGAAGCCAAAATGGAGTAATACTGTTCACACAGATGACTCTTAGGAGCAAATGACTTATTATTTAGAGGTTTATGGGCTTTGTTATGCATGGACTTTTAAATGTTACTTTATAATTTAGGCTAACATTGAGCTCCTCAGCGTTTTTCTTCTGTAAATAGCTGAGATTGCCCTATAATTTCCTAATTCTGGGATCAGCAAAGTGCATCTTTTTTGTCTAAATTCAATTAAGTTTTATTTCTATAACATCAAACCTCTCAAAGTCGATCTGCTCTGCTCGTTTTTCAGTTTTTTTTTTCTCTCAGACCAAACCAACCAGTAGCTGTACTGTTTCTTACGCTTTGAACTTTAAGTTTGCAGAACGGATTTGCTAAACTCAGGTGGAGGTTAACACACATTTAACGCGTCTTAGAGAGGAAAATAAGTCACCCAGAGGTCTGCAGCAGTATATCTTGTCATTTCTTTCAAACAGATTTGGACTTGGAATATTTTTTTTTCTTCTTCCAGCTGCTTCTCAACATAT